CCGTTTTACGGTTGTCAGTCTATTTGCTCGACTTTAGCATCACCACAGAAACTGCCGGGTTTTTCCTCTACACTTTTTCTGCCGGGCGAGCAGAATGGCGGATGTCCGGACTCATTCCTGGCTTGCCCATGCCATACCCAACTGTGTCAGGGTACGCCCCAGTGTGCCTGGTCAGTCTACAGCGAATCATAAACTTTAAACAGAAACCTTACGCCGCGTCACCCGCTGTGCCCGATTTCACCATCTCCAGTCGATTTGATCCAAACTTGTCACTGATAGGCTGGGAGAGGGAAGAAACAGCGTGGGACCGACACTGCAGGAGTTCGCAACGATTTTTTCCGACCCCGACAGCACAGCAGGAGCTGTTTGTCGTCCTACCACTGAATGACATAGGGCCCACGTTTCGGATGGCAGGCTTCAGCCAACTACGACAATGACCTGCGCTGGTAACGTGGGGGCTAAAAGCTACTTCTTTGGCCGACCGCCTGCACACATTAAGAATCAAAATTACAGAAGCATTTCAGAAGAAGAAGATGCGATCACTGGAACAAGGGTTCTGTTCCTTGTTCCAGTGATTGCATCTTCTTCTTCTGAACTGCTTCCTGGAACTCGCATATTCTCCTCTACAGAAGCATTGTTGCCAATACAAGCGAAAATGCGAGTCCCAGGAAGTAATTGAGAAGAAGACAACTCGATCGTTGGGACAATACTTTTATTCGCCTGACGTTTCGACATCCGTCGCGGATTCTTCACCAGAGGCATGAGCAGAAAGCAATAGCAGAAACGGGTAAAATATGCACAGGAATTTGCAGTATAAACTGGACATAGTCATTACTGCTAGCTTGTAAAGACCGTTAACGATACTTGCTCTGTTGTGCGTTGATAGGTTGTTGACCAACAGGCGGGCTCTGACTTGCTAAAATTTCATTACGTGTAGTGGACTTGGGCGTGATGGTTGCTCGGCCATCTGGCTCTCCGGTGTTGGCGTAAGACGACGCGGTAGCCTGCGCTTTCCCCAAATAGCGACTTGCTTTGGCCAAATTGAGTCTCAGCACCGAATATGGTTTGAGCAAATCGTTGCACTTGTGTATACACTGGAGACCCGTAAGCCATGATTCAAGCAACTCGTGGCTCACACGATTTTCACCTATTGCGAGAATTTTGACCTCATCAAATTTGAATGTGGGGTCGGGCCTCGTCGAATAAGCCGCAACTTGAGAATTGGCATCATTTCGCCGAACTGCTGCCACGTGTTCGGCAACTCGCATCTTGAGAAGTCTGCTACTCTCTCGGACATAGTTGCTTTGTCCGCAACTGCACCAGATCCTGTAGACGACTCCAAATGTTTCTTGCCGTGGCGGTGGCCGTGGAAGCATTGTTTTACATTTTCCAGTTTTCCGAAGATTAATTGGCGAGCATACGTATACTTTCAATAAATTCTCATCAGGCCACCTATAAAAGAGGCCTTGGAGAAGTCGATAGTTCCAAATACCTCGGAGCGAGGTCGCTACCCGATGGCCAGAGTAAGGATGACATTATCTCCCGAATTGACGCAGCACGACGAGTGTTCTCTAGCCTTTGGAAGTACTTATGGACCCGACGCGATATTTCCATCTCAACAAAGATCGGCGTGTACCGTGCATCTGTACGGTCCGTTATTCTATACGGATGCGAATGTTGGGCTCTGCGCGTGGAAGATGAACAGAAACTGGAAGTCTTTGACCACTACTGTCTGAGAAACGTCCTTCAAGTGAAGTTCACCGACTTCGTCTCAAATGAGACAGTCCGCACTCGCTGTGACAACATCGCAAGGATACTCCAGGCAATCCAAGAAAAGCGACTAAAGTGGTTTGAAAACGTTCTTTGTCGTCAACCTCACGAGCTCAGTGTTACTGCCCTTGACCTGAAACCGTTACCTAATTGGAAACGTCGAAGTAGGAGTCAGTTCAAAACCTGACTCGAATAAGTCCGTCAGGACATGGAAGTGGTTCATGGACGTTCATGGACGTCTACGGCCACGGACCTTCGCGCGCGGAGAAGCATCGTACGGGACATAATTGAGGCCGGCTGCATCAGTCATCATCGCAGCCGTAACAAGTACAAGTACAGAGTTCGTGATTTGGAACGGTCTTATTTGGAGTCTGACCTCGTAGATCCGATAGCAGTCACAATTAGAAGTTAATAGTTACAGTTTTTGGTCTTTTCAACGCCTACCACCCTTCTCTGCGAATTCTGTAGAACCAAGATCTATTGAGTAAATGACTAATTAAACGCTAACTATGTTTACATTGTGAACTTTTAATATGCTTCTATTAACTTGAAGTTCGATAATTCCGAAACTGACTTTAATTTAGCTGGGTTTTGTGATACTCTAAACTGTCGCCTCTCGGCTACGCAATTTTGGCTTCCACCTCAGTATGTTTTTCGCTAGTGTTTCGATCATGAAGAAGTCTGTCCTACAAAATATAGGCCCGATTTCTCTTTGATAAGTTGTTCTGGAAGAGAAGGAGAAGAAGAGACGCCGATTGCAGGGAACAGTTTTTTCCCCCAGTTGTCTGAGTTTTCGGATGCTCTC